AAGAGTGGCCAAACATTGAGAAAGGTTGCCCAGAGAGGATGTGGAGTGTCTGTCTTTGGAGATATTCAAAACCAAACTGGACAAAGTCCCAAGCAACCTGCTCTAGGTGACCTTGCTTTGAGCAGGGGTTTGGACTAGATGATGCCCAGAGGGCCCTTCCAAGCACAGCTATTCTGTGACCCTAATATACAGCTAACAAGCTCCTTGCATTGCCAGGTTCAACTGCTCTCAGCCAGTCTTTGCATCTTCCCAGGACAAGCAGAGAGAAGGGGAGCACTCTTCCCTTTCCCTCTAACCAGGGTCAACAGCAAAATGAACACCAGATTTAAGGGATAAAGCTGGCTTGTCCTTTCATCTCAGCTGTGTCACCTGTGCCACCCTCTGGGAAACAGAGGGAAGAACCTGGCTCAGATCAAACCACCACTTTCTGTCCTGGCTGAACCGAGAATATCTTCCCTGCTTGCATCAAGCTTAGACATGAAAAGGTCAGGTGGCAGAGATAGAGACAGCACCATTTTATGAAAAGATCGAAGGTAAAATCTTGTCCCAAATGAAGGCAGCAGGAGCTCTGCTAATATCTCAGATACATACATCCTTCTCAGTTGAAGTCCAGTCCTATGAGATTGTAGGCATCCACCTCATACTACCTTCTTCCTGTACAGCCACCTTAAAGCCATTTGGGTCTTCTTCCCTCCTCTAATCTTTTTAAAAGGCTCTCTGCCTTGGTGGTCAGGTTCCTCTTCCAGTTTGACCAAGTTAACATGTGGCCAGAGTACAACCATCTGTTCTGGGCCCAACACTGGGGTTTTCTCTCCCTACTGGTTGCCATCCCAGATGTGTACAGAGCAGACACAGCACCCCTCAGCCTACCCCACTCTGTTCCAGTCTGAATATGGGTGACTCGAGCTCTGCATGTTGCTCCAAAAGAGAGTTCAGGGGTGTTCTGCACTGCCACGTTCACATTTCCCAAGAAATAACCCTCATAAATCCTCAGGTGGGTGCATTTATTGAAACCCCTGCAGTTCCTGCAAAAGTCTTTCTGATGTTTTTTTCATTAATAACTGTCTTAATTACACCCATCCCAGCTAACGCGTGTGGTTTTCTCTGCCGCTGTGCAAGGGCAGCTCATCTGCACACAAAGTCACCATTGTGTGTGTGTGTGCGATGGACAGAGCATGGGGCTGGAGCCAGGAATTTATGAGGTCTTATCCCCAGACTGCCAGTGGCCTTCCGTGTGGCCTTGGAAAATAACACTTAACGTCTTTGGGTTTTCAGCTGTAAAATTGGAATAATAATCTTTATTCATCCACCTCAAAGAGGTGATGAGAGGATTTTATTTAGTGCTCAGGATTTAAATGTTTCCAAACAAATTTTATAATAACCAGTCAGGGTTTTTAAATCCATTCTCAGCTCATCTCTTGCCACCTCCTCTGCACTTGGTGATAGTGGTTGCTTTGCTTATTCCCCTGAGTATTCTAGAGCTAGCTGGATTACAGAGCCATTATGGCCAAATAGGTCTAAAAGGAATAATTTGCCCAAACGTTGAACTATATTCATCTCAAATGTATCCACACTTTCCAAAATTTGGAACCAATCTTCAGTCAAAAAGGCAGAAGCGAGTCAGCTCATCTTTTTCCCATTTGAAGAAAAATGCACTGCATGTACCCTGTTTACTATTTGCAGTATCCCATCACATCAAAAAAGCCTGTGCCTTTGGGAGTCAACGTAAAGAAAATGCAGAGAAATGCATGGTAAATTCCGAAGCCACCGCAGATCTGGAGCAGCCTTTGTGGAACACATTTTTCTGTCCTACTGACGGAATTAATAAATAAGCGGGCAGCAGCCAGGTATGGTCAAAGCTTTCACGTCAGCCCCTCTGGTACATCAGATAGCGTCGTTCATTTGTTTGAAGTACTAAGAGAAAAGTGGGGAGTCAGGAAAGGGCTGGCAGGTTCGGCAGGCCTACCCCAAGCACAGCACAGCCACACGCTGCCCTCTCCTCCAACACAGCGCCCAGCCAGCGCCTGAGCCTGGTGCTCCTTGGCAGGGCTCAGCCAGCCGTACCCTTCGTCTAAGTCCAGAAGTGATAACTTGCACAAAGTGTTAACTCCCTAAAACCATCTCAGATCTTCTGAATTTGCCCCTCAAGTAATTTCAACATGCAATCACCAAGGAACAGCTTCCATTTTTTCATCTTACCAAGGCAATTAATGCAATTACTGAAATTATTGAAACTTTTGAATGTACAGTTGCCTGTGTTTGAAAACATTAAAAAAAATCAGTACATTTCAAGGAGTGGAGTACCTTCAAGCAAGAACCACTGAAAAGCTGGTTGCTATGCAACTCAAGTATTGTCCATATTATTCTTATCAACAGATGTCATATTGTATAAAATAATATAATCCTCTTTTTAAAAAAACCCCCGCAATACAGTAGAAGGCTGTTCAGGGGTGGAGAATTGGCAATAGCTCAGAGTGCTGTCATAAACCTGACGTTGATGGTACATACTTCATCAATTACAGAACCATAATGTAATTATTATGATTATTTAAATGGCACCCTTGATAATATATATAAATTGCCTACAATGAAGCAAATGAATCTCAAGACATGAGCTACATGCTTTCAAAAGAAATGCTTACTCAAACAAGACTGGGATTATATTTTCATATTGTGAAGCCAACTAGGCTGCTTCATTCATGCACTGCCTAAATTTGTGCACGTGCCCTTCCTTTCATTATGTACTTTGAATATATATTCCTAAAAACTGTTAGTGCTGGTGTGCGGGATAGTAAAATACTGAAAGCTTTGTTCTAATTCTTCAGCACAGGTTCAGAAAGTAGGAACTATACACATTTTCTGTCTGCTTTTGCACTGCTAAATAATCCCAGTCCTCCAAAGAGAAACCTCCTCGCCTTTTACTCCCTGGTACTAGTCTTCTGATCAGGAGCTTTAAAAACATGACCATAAAAAATAAAAATAATGTATTCTTATACAGTCAGGGCATGCAGGCCCCCACACCATCGGGTGTGTGAGCTCTGAAATGATACCTTTTACATTCATTTTACTTCTTTCAGAAAGCCATAAATGGCCTTTCATGTAAGTAAGAATCAGATACAGAAATGCAAGAAAAATTATCTTCATGGTTATTTAGGGCAAGCCTGTGATACCAGAATTATTTCATTTTATGCCCTGCTGAAACCAGCAGAACAACTCAGGAACTGAAACGTTGCCCACTGCAGATTGCAGATCTAGAATCCAGAAGTAGACTATCCACAAGCAGATTACATAGTGCTACCTACAACAACTATTTTTGTGATGCGGCCAAGGATCCACTAAGAAGTGAAGATTTCCACACTCCACCCCACTCTGCTCTCTAAAGAAGGTTAATATGAAATTAATAACTTTCAAATTATCAATGGACAATGCTTTATTCTTCACAAGAAAATAAAGATTCTTAAGGTAGATGAGGTCTAACATAGCTGTCGCCTGCCATCAGAAAAATGGCAGAAGTTATCAGAGTTCAGACTGGTGCAGATCTGTAGAGCTAAAGATGGACACGCATAACAATTATGAAATACTTATGAAATAAGGACAGCAAAGAAGTGAGTGGCCCATGTGCTAATTCTGCTGGCTTCCACCACTGCTGCAATATCAGATTTTTATGAGAAGTATTAGTCAATTTGCAATCCCTCAAATTTCTGTCATTACAGCAATCACAAGGATATTTCATTTATTTTGTAATTTAATATTAACTACACACACCATGAACTTTTGATCACAAAATGGCAAATGTGACCTTTTTACCTTTTATTTTAGGACACACATCTGATTAAGCTTATTCAAAACATGTAACTACATCATCATGTGCATCAGTGCAGGAAGAGGAGAGATGGATCAGTGTGTTTAGTTCTCAGATGGGGAAGCTCCAACAGAACAATTTATCCCAAATCCAGGTAGCTGGTCTCCAGCAGAGTCCAGACTAAAACTCAGAGCTCCCTCATTTGCACAATGGAGGAAAATTCTTAGCTGGTGTCGAGTAGGGTAAACTGGTGAATGTCAGTGGAGCTTCACCACTGACACCATCTGCGCTGGCTCTTCATTGACAGAGTTTCAGCAACTTGCATGAATATACACGGAGTCTTCCAGAACCCAAGTTTATTACATGAACATGCAAATGCTCCAGTCACAGAAAGGTACACTAGATTTTAACACTCTGCTTTGAGCAGCTGGGCTTGCTGCTGTAATAGAGAGCACTAAAATCCCATGTCCTTAACCAAAGCATTTATCAACATACTTGAAACACCCTGTTCCTGTTTCCATAGAATTTGATGTTGATTTGGCAAAAATAGGACACAGGTACTGCACAGTTCAATACTTTCGAAAAGCATTTAGCATTTCATTCCTCTTTACCTGAGTTTTGCCTGTAGAGTAACCCCTTCCATAGAAACAGCAAAAGAACGAACACTTGGTATTCTTAATTACAGATTTGGTCTGCAGAGCTCTAGTCTTCTGGCCCCTATCCCACAGAACTTGCACTTAACTTTAAGCACACGTATAGTCTCATTAATGTTAGGCACAAGTTTAAAAAGTTCTTGGAATAAGGCTGTAGCCCTCAGCATCCTGCAGAACTGATCTTGTGTTTATTGTTACTTACATACAGTTCTACCACAACACCTCATGTTTTCTTTAGGAACCAAAATGCTCACTATGTTTCATGGATTACGCCAAACAAATCTGAAAAGATAGACTGCCAGAGCTAAGCAGCAACTTAAAATGACACAGGGAAAACCCAGACGAAATTGAAATTATTTGAAATCCGAAGTTCAAATGATAAAGAAATATATATAAACATAGAAGTTCTTTATATTAATAGTCTGTTAAGGACAAAGTACAAATTAAAATACAAAACCAATACACGTCACCAGTAACTACATTGTTCATAAAAGAATGATGTTCAGAGATATTGATATCCTCCATTTAAATTAACCTTTACTTACCTTGCCGTAGCTCAGCAGGATTATCCTCACCAAGACAACGTTAATGTGAGCACCCAGGGACTCATCATGATAAATTTCATTAACCTGCAAAAGAGTTCAGCACTTTAACCACAGTACTGGCAACAAGTAACTATGAAAGCAGTGATACAGCAGTACCTTTCATGTATTGTCATTAAGTCAAAGAACACTGTAATACACTCATATATAAACTGGAGAAAATTCCACCAACGTGAGAGGGAATGTTTTCTGTTCTAAGCTTTGTTGTAGCCTCCCAACAGGCCATAATTCAGGAAATCATTTTAAATCAGCACATCATCAGAGACTTCATATTAACAGGTATTTAAGTGCGAGCCTAAACAGACTTAGAGGTATCATGGTGCACCTACACGATGCAGCTGAGCTGATCTAACAGCTACTCTTGCTAAGCAGGCAGATTCCCAGCTCCTCCCTACCTCAGCCCAGCTGTGTGTGCCCGCTGGAGCCCAAGCACAGTAATACAAGTAAAATCCTGATTAGGTCTCAGCTGGGCAAGACCATGCACGGGGAAGGGGACAAGTGAGCAGAGGGACAGGACCTCTCTCCTGAGAGCCATTTGCTGGATCGGCTCAGCTGCACCCTGTAACTTTTCCATCTGGGACCCATCACATCACACTCTCTCTGACAAGAGGATATACCTCCCTCAAAAAGCATGGTCGGCCGCATGGGCTGGCCTTATCGTGTGTCAAAACTCATCAATGTTAAACTTTGCAAGCAGAACAAAAGCTACAAAATGTCAGCAAATTAAAAACTGTCATCTTTTTTTATAGGAGAGCTACATAACTGAACATACACATGGGAAAATTGCCCTAGGAACACTGAAGAGAAAACTGTAAATATTTAGCATAGAGAATGAAATGTGGATGTATAAAGATTACTTAGGAAACACTGGTACAAGTAAGCTAGGCAAATATTAACTGTTAAAGAGGCTGGTTTAGGTATTCGGTGATGAAGACTATGAGATTCAGCCAAATGGCAGCGGTTTAGCTTTACAAATTAGAAGAGGCAGATGAGATTCCCTGCAAGGCAAGTGTCTTTCCTAAAACTGCCTTCCCTTGGTAAAGGTTGCACCAAACTGGACTGCTTTGCAGGCTAGACCTAAATTCAATTTATTGCTGCAAAACAGATTCATTACTACAAGCTAATAAGTAAATTTCAAAAAACCTGTCATTAGAAACATAGTAAATAATGTCCTATTTCTTCAATCAGCCCTAGTTTTAACGGCCCATCTTTTATCTCTGTAAAAATCATTAAAACTAAATACATCAGTGTAGGTTTTGCTAAGCAATCCCCATTGACATTTTAAGGTGAATTTTAATTCATTTTATCAGCATTTTTGGATGTAAGAGCCTAATTTTATGCCTGGTAAAAGTCCAAGTTTTCGAAAGTCCTCAGCATCCTGTGCTGATGGTCAGGAGACAGCGTGGCTGAACCGTAGCTCCCGGAGCAGCCTCACACCCTGCAGGGCACCGGCCCGGGCACCTGGGGAACATCCTGTGGGATGCCCGGGATGCAGGCTTGTTAGCGGGTGATGAGCAGATCCTTGGCTGGAAGATGGCGGGTGAGGAGCCCGTGGCTACGACTGGCTTCAGGGGCCGCTATTTTCATTGTGGTGTAGAAGTAGCTGATCTGTTCAGATCTGCTTTGTAAACAATACCTCTGGAAATTAGATCATTTGTTTACATGTCTAAATAAGACTTTAGAAGACTAACTTTATATTCCTGTATTTAAAAAAATCTTTTACTTGAGGATCATTACTGAACACAGATTATAAAGAGGTAAGACATAAATGTGGATTTTGCTTTACAAAAGTTCTTTCAGCCAGGAAAAAGACCCTTGCATGTTGTCAAGGGAGGCAAGGATATTAATTTGCCTCATTCTTTGTGTAGTGGGAAGAGAGCACACGCATTAAGGATATTGAGGCTGAAATAAGCTGTAAATTACCTATACATGAAATGAGTACTGAACAAAAACTCCTGTGTATAAAGGACAGTAAACATAGCATGTAAATAAGTATTTAATTAGTCCATCAAGCATAATCCAAATTGCTGCACACCGTGCTCTCATTAACTTTCAGAATTTAACCTAAGCCTCTTTTAACAATAGTTGAATAACAGAACAACCGTATCGCCGTTGCATGCCAAAATGAAACTTGGCTTGAAAACGTTGATGGAAGAGAATTGAAACACTGTTGACTGTTCATGAAAATGACATCTAACAAACAAACTGTGAGTGAACAGAGAAGCACAAGCACTGTAAAAAGCTGCTTGGTTCTCTTGGGATACCGGATTTTCTGCAAGACAGTGGGTCAATTCAAAGCTCTGGGTCTTGGTTTCATTAATAAGGATTGAGTCCAATCCCTCCTCATACAGCAGCTGAACTGAACCCTCTGAGCCTTTCTCTGAGCTAAACCATGGCTTTACCAGTAGTGTCTCACTGCACATAGATACAATAGGCTGAAACAGATGCTTTTCTTTTTTTTCAGCATGGTCTAAATTGCACCTATTTGTTTCACAAAGTTATTAAAGATATGAGATCCAAGCGACTGAACGTTGCGCTCTCATTCGTGAAAAGTGCAACACTGAAAGGGCCTCCACAATCCCTGGCTCAGACTCTCCAAAATTCCACCTGTTATTTCAACGGGAAAGCAGAGTTAAGCTCATGCAGTTCATTGTAGAGGGCACAAAATGACCAACCAACCTGTGGAATCAGAAAGCTCCAGGCTCTCGTCCAACACAATTGCTGAAATGTTTGTTTCAAAGCAGAGACAATCAGACAATGGATATATATGTTCAGATGTCTGTGTAATAAATACATGCAGGTGTGAAAATGATTACATAGTACTTTTACAGCACTGCATCTCCATGTACTTCAGTAGGACATCCTGGTTCATACTAAGACAAGAAAAATCAGTTGATCTCCTGTTATTCTTGGATCAGTAAGTCCAAAATTATGTTGCTGCATAGGAAAATAAAGTACACAGAGACCATTCCAAAATCACAGCTCCTGAAGTGGAGGCAGTGAGTGCATTAGATCTTGTTAGATGTCCTACAGTGATTCAGCTTCTATAGAGGGTGATGAAGAAAGCCAGGTAAATCTCAAGGAATTCAAAGCATGGTGGAATACTGTAAAGAGACTTTCATCAAGCTGTTGTAGTTCACAGGCTATTTTGGGATAACTTTGGTTTATTTTTCTGGGATATTTCAATCAAAGCAAAACACGCGTTTCTATTTAAAGTTTCTGTTTAGAACTCAGGCTGGCACAGATTGGTGCTACATAAGAAAAACAAAGACTTTATTAATTTTTTTCTTCTGCCCTGAGCAAGTTTCAAGCCAGCACAGCAAGCACATAGAATACATCAAAAAACTCCAACTAAAGACAAGCTAAGCATCTCTCAGCTGCATCATGCTTTGTAAAAGCAGCACTGCAAAGTTTTCAGCATTGAGTAAAACAGGGCCCGATCCTAAAAGGGAATTTTGAAAACCGTTGTAACACAAATAGCAATAAACAGCCTGCAGTTTTGCTAGTCTTGGTGCAGAGCGGGTTACCTGCTGATATAGCTGGCAGGATTTTTAGGAAAAGTCAGGTGGTTTGCTTAATCTCTAATTAAACCAATGCGCAATAGGAGAAAGAATAAGCTGCGTATTTTGGCAAGCCATCGGCGAACTCATTCATGCAGTTTGAAGGAGTTCCCAGCCTTGCAAAGTTTGTTAGTATCTGCTATGCAAAAGACAGCCCACTTCATCACAGCATGGCTCCATCCTGCTGA